AGCAGTGTTCCAATATCTCAGGGGCTGCCACAAAGAAGAGGGAGTCAAGCTATTCTCCAAAGCGCCTGAAGGCAGGACAAGAAGCAACGGATGGAAACTAATCAAGGAGAGAAGCAACCTAGAACTAAGGAGAAACTTCCTGACAGTTAGAACAATTAACCAGTGGAACAACCTGCCTCCAGAAGCAGTGAATGCTCCAGCACTGAAGTTTTTAAGAAGAAACTGGAAAGCCATTTGTCCGAAATGGTATAGGACAGGGGTGTCAAACTCAATTTCATTGAGGGCCGCATCAGCATTGTGGTTGCCCTGGGGGGGGGGACGGGTGGGTGTGGCCAAGGTGGGTGTAGTCTACTGGGTGGGTGTGGATGGAGTGGGTGTGGCCTATTGGGTGGGCATGGCCAGCTCTACATCGTTCGCGTCAAGGGTGCCTGTGGGGGCCTGGGCAGGAGTGGGACAGATCTGAGGGTCTCTGGCAGAAGGGGGGGGGGGACTGGGGCAAGTGCCAAGGCATGGTCCACTGGAGGAGCCTCATTGCCTGCTGAAACCCCTCCACCGGAGCCCATCAAGCTGGATATGTGAAGTAGGCGACTGGCCACTTCCAGGTGATGGTGCATTTCTTCATTCCTCACAAAGAGTGACACCTCCCCAGCCTGCAGCCAGGGGGCCGGGCGACGCGGCAGGGGCTGGTTCCTCGCTGTTTCCAGATGGCCTTGTGGAACTAAGACTGAATTTTATTTATTTATTTATTTTATTTATTAAATTTATATACCGCCCTATCTCCCTTACGGGACTCAGGGCGGTGAACAGGCGATACTAAAAACCACGATAATAAATAAATAGTTTCTGTTTTAAAATCGAATTAAATAACAGGCCTGTTCTAAAAACACACCCATACAAAAACCCCCACTGAAACATAACCGAACTACGCCAGGCCGGCCGCACGGAATAGATGGGCCTTCAGGGCTCGTTTCAACATAGAATGCGTTTCAACATAGATGGCCACCACAAAATTGTACATTGGCTCCCGGCCAGCCTAGGCCGGGGCCAAGGCAGTGGGGGCTGTTCAGTCACTGTTTCCAGGATGGCTTCGCAGGCCACATGAAACCACTTCGCGGGCCGCATCTGGCCCCTGGGCCTTGTGTTTGACATGTCTGGTACAGGGTTACCTGCCTGAGCAGGGGGTTGGACTTGATGACCTCCAAGGTCCCTTCCAACTTTTTTTTTATTATTATATAGAAGGGAATTATCATTATCCTGCTGTTTTCCAATGAATTGCTCACCTGGGACAGACACATTTTATTTCTGTTTTATTTATTTGTCAAACAACAATTACAAATTTGAACGAACAAAAGCTAAAATGTGACAGGGACGATAGGCAGGTCAATGCACTTACCGCTAACTCCAAGGTACTCTTTTCAAAAGGCAACTGGATTTTCTTGGTTTGTTTTCTTTGAAAACGTTTCGTGAAAACAACGTCCAGGTGCCTTTTGGGAAAAGAAGAAAAAAAAAAAAGCACCTTTGGGACAACCATGACCAGGATGATTGAGAATCTCCACAGGCACATAAACAACCGTGCCAGATGCCTTTTGCAACGTTGAAAACGACTTCATTCACCACCAGCAAGTTTACCTTCAAGCTCAATCAGAGCTCCTCACTCCTGTTAGGCTTACAGCAGCTCTCTGCCACGCTGATACACCTTAAACCAGCATAACTGAAAATAAACTGAGCCACGACCCGAAAGCTCCCCAAAGAGCTTTCAGAAGTTCCAGTCACTGGAAGATTTTAAGAAGAGATTGGACAGCCACTTGTCTCAAATTGTACAGGGTCTCCTGCTTGAGCAGAGGGTTGGACTAGAAGACCTCCAAGGTCCCTTTCAGCTCTATTCTGATTTAAGGAAACAAGTTAAGTTGCAGGGCCTAGTGGGCGGCGGGAAAGCCGCAAAGCCCAAGGGCAACTCATGTCGCAAATAGCGTTGCGTGTTGCGTGAGAGTGGCTGAGAAAGCGCCAAATCAGTAAGTTGCAACACAAAAGCCGAGAGGGAGGAGCGAACCTTCCTGCTGCCCCGGGCTGAGCAAAAAGTGTGCTTGGCGGGCGGAACGGCTCTCAGCAACTCACGGTCGGCAGAAGCAGAGCGGTGCAAGGAGCAGAAGCAGCCCGGCCTAGGTCGGTAGGCAGAACGTGTCTCTTTGGGCGCGGACTCGAGTGGGTGGGTGGGTGAAGGGCGCGCGTGCAATTGGAAAACAGGCGCGCTTTTGCAGGCGCCAAGTTCCTTTTGCCCGCTGCGTCCTGAAGGCGGATTAGCGTTTTTGCAAAAGTTGCGCCCGCTTGCCAGCTTGCTTGGTGCTAATTCCTAGATGGGAGGGTGGTTGGTGTTTGTGTATGAGAGAGAATTGAGTGAAAGTCGGGCGGTGTTTTCCTTAGAGATCAGCGGAGAGTGCAGCTCTCTCCACGCCTCCCGTCTGAGACTGTGGGAAACCTGCTCACGTGCAGGCTTAGAGACGCGCACCGATCTGCAGGGATTTTTACAAATCCGGAAGAAGCTCTGCTTTCGATAGAAGAGACTGTCTGTAGGTCGGAGCTGAAGTGTGAAGGCTTTTGGTTTGCTTGCAGACGTTTCATTGTCCCGACTAGGTCGCATCATTGGGGCTGGTGAGCTTGGGAGCAAACCCCACACTCCCTCACACTGATGATGTGACCTAGTCGTGGAATGAAACGTCTGCAAACAAGCAAACAAACTGGGAGAGCACCAAGGACTCCAGGCCTCTATTTCGCTGCCTGAATCTTTGATCTGTTGCCTCATTATGGGGAACGGGAATTCTCAGAAGGGCTGTGCAGAAAGGCGTGGGGGTTGCACACCATTCATCTCACTGGTGGATTTCAGTGCCCTGTTGCACAGCTTGGTCGTAGTTCACAGTGTAACTCAATTACTAGATAGTAAATATGGTATGATTGCAAAATGCAATGGCATTTGTATAGAGCAGGGGTAGGCAACCTTGGCTGTCAGGAATTCTGGGAGTTGAAGTCCAGGAGTCATAAAAGAGCCAAGGTTGCCTAACCCTGGTATAGAGATTAAGCAACCAACTTATGTTAAGGCCAAATGTAGATTTCATTTAAAAAGAAAAATCTTCATCTGTCCAATCCAAGGCAGGAATAAACAAAATGGAGACTGCTTTAGGAAAGGTTCTTGTTTATTGAATTGCAGAACCAGACAGAAATATAGCTCTGGGGCAGCTAACCACATGGAGCTGGGAGTGTTGGGTTTTTATACCTTTTTGGGCTTTTGTGTTTGGAGTTCCTGTTCCTGTGGCATGAACTTTGACCTGAGCTTTTGAGTGTGTCCTTTTGGTATTCTGATGGTGGTGGGTTAATCTTATGTTCTAAAGGTCATGTCCTGCTTTACCTGGAGCTGGGGCTGATGGCTATGTCCTGTGTTAGATTTTTGGGTGAGAGGCTGCTGTTCTAATTCTATCACTCTGCTATTGTTAGCTATCAACTCTTGTTCCAAGGGATTTTGAAAAATCCTGTCTTGAATTGGCTTCTGCAGGTACTATTTGCTCATGAATGGGGCTGAATGGGATGATCAAATCTGTATTTCTACAGAACTGGCCTGCTTAGTTTCTGTTTGTGGCTATTAAGAAAACCTGGGCCTGCTTTCCTGCCTTAAGATCCTTTGGAGAAATATAATATTCTGCCTTTTTAATATCCCCCAAAATATTTCCTTCTCTGGGGGGGGTGTGTGCTGACTTTCCACACTAGATAGTAATTTAACTACTAGACAGTAAATCTGGTATGATTGCGAAATGCAGTGGCATTTGTACAGAGATTAAGCAACCAACTTTGATTTAAGGCCAAGCATAGATTTCATTTAGTGCCGGTGGAAAGCAGGTCGAGTCCTCTCCTGCCTCCCAAACTGGTTTGGTCTTAGCTGGTGCTAAGCTAGCTGGTGGGTCACAATTGCTCTTGTCCTTGAGCATAGGGTGAGAGTCAAGGGAGTGGGAGTTCATATTTGCACAAGATATTAGTTAACTTTTGGCACAGAGTGAAGTCCATCTGCAAGATGCAACTGAGATACAGATTTCGCCACCTGTGGGAATTCAGTTTCAGCGTTAGCTGGGCCAGGAAAAGGGTGAGGAAGAAGTACAAAGGATTTAAGGCGTGTTACCAACTTTGGGGAGGAGAAAATAATTACAGGCCGCAGTAGCTGGCTTCACATCACATACCGTGGTGTTTTTTTGCAAGATAGCTTTCCAGCCAAAAAGGGCAGGAGTATATTTCTGTTTGGACATTGGATTGGTTCACTTTTAAGTCTTTACATGCAGGTCATAATCTAAAGTTTAGGGACAGACTGAGATCAGTGGAAAATATTGGTTTCAAGTACCAGAGGAGTGTAAATCCAGAAAAAAAATACAGTGCTCATTTATTTATTTATTTATTTGATTTTCTTCCACCTATATTATTTTTATAAATACAGATAGTCCTCAACTGATAACCATTCATTTAGTGACCGTTTGAAGTTACAACGGCACTGAAAAAAGTGAGTTATGTTCGTTTTTCACTCTTACCAGCCTTGCTGCATTCCCCTTGGTTACATAATCAGAATTCAAACAGTTGGCAACTGGCTCATACTTATGACGGTTGCAATGTCCCGGGGTCATGTGATCCCCTTTTGTGACCTTCTGACGAGCAAAATCAATGGGGAAGCCAGATTCACTTAACAACCGTGTTACTAACTTAACAGTTGCAGTGATTCACTTAACAACTGTGGCAAGAGAGGTCATAAAATGGGACAAAACTCGCTTAACAAATGTCTCATTTAGCAACAGAAATTTTGGGCTCAATTGTGGTCCTAAGTCGAGGACTTCCTGTAGTTGGCCCCCATGGCACAACTTTGCTTTTCCAGCCAAACTTCTTTAATTGCTGCAGCAACAATTTAGAAAAGCTGTAAAGTGAGGCCTAGCTTATCAAAGGCCCCAAATCTACCACAGAGAAGAAGAAAATTAACACAGGAGTTTACAGCAAAGTAAAGATGAAAATAGTATCTTCAGCCAGGTCTGGTTGAAGTGCAGTTTATTTTCATAAGTGCTATTCAGTCAGCCCTGACTAAAGGTATATTACAGGTACCGTGTTTCCCCGTAAATAAGACCTGGTCTTATTTATATATTTATTGCCTCCAAAAGAGGCACCAGGTCTTATTTTCAGGGTAGGCCTTACTTCACCTCTAGCATCGACAGCCCCACCTAGCCGGTCCACTTCTTCTGGGGCCAAAGTTCTGCAGCTGCATTCGGGCCTGGATTTTGCAGTCAGGCCTTTCCAGAAGGCCTAAGCAGCCAAGTACCGAGCTATGGATTCAATCCATAGCTTGGTGCTCAACTGCTGAGGTTTTGCAGAACCGAGCTATCTTGGTTGCACAGGCCATCTGGAAAGCCCTATGACTGAGAAATGCAGACCTGGCTGCAGAAGAGGCCTCAGAAGAAGAAGTGGGCCGGCAAGGAGAGGCCTGGCTGCAAGGTAAGTGGGTGTGGGGCAGGTGGGGCACCTCCATACCCCCACCCTAGCTTGATTTTTAGGTATGTACCTCGCCCCAAAACTGGGGCTTATTTTGGGGATAGGGCTTATATTAGGCCCAACTCCAAAAATCAAGCTAAGGTTTATTGTTGGTGTGGGCCTTACTTTTGGAGAAACACGGTAGTTCTCGACTTACGATCAAAATTGAGGCCAGAATTTCCATTGCTAAGCAAGGCGGTTGTTAAGCGAGTTGCACCTTTTTTGGAAGCCAGCTGGGAAGGTTGCAGATGGTGATCAAATGACTCTAGATGCTGCAGTTGTCATAAATACAAGCCAGTTGCGAAGCACCAAAAATTTGATCACGTGACCATGGGGATGCTGCAACAGTTGTAAAAGTGAGGACTGGTCGGAAGATACATTTTTCAATGCCGTTTTAACCTCAAACAAATGATTGTAAGTCAAGGACTAATTGCATTTAGCCTCTCCCCTACCTCCACCAGGATATGCCAGATGAGAGAAAATATAGTTTTGCTCAGTTGCAATATTCTTTATACAATTCCACTTTTAGCAAACAGGAAAATATATTTAGAATGGGTCAGTCTGTAGTGCATGCAGTATTGCACAGTGTTGTTCTCCTACAGCAGGGATAGGCAACCTTGGCTCTTTTATGACTCGTGGACTTCAACTCCCAGAATTCCTGAGCCAGCCATGCTGGCTCAGGAATTCTGGGAGTTGAAGTCCACGAGTCATAAAAGAGCCAAGGTTGCCTACCCCTGTCCTACAGTGTCGTCTGCCTGTAGATGCAATTGCTTGTGACCCAGTGGAGGTCTGAATAGCGACATCTGAGCCAACAGTTAAAACTTGGCCTGCATAGAATACAAGTCCATGTATCTAGTCCTCTGAGGCAAGAACTCCAGAATGCAAGCTTGACTGTTGCACTAGGTGTGAATTTGCTTCCCTCTGTGAGCTCCAGAAATTAACTGGGGGATGAGTGGGAGATGCTTCTTCCTCATTTGGGAAAAAACAAAATTGAATGCTTTTAAGCTTCTCTGACCAGAGTGAAGGATGTTCCTGACTAGAAGCAAAGCAAAACAACAACAACAAAAAACAACCCATCAAAGTCACCTTGTAGGGGAGATGGGAGGTGCAAAAAATTAGTAATAAAATAAGTAAATAAAATATTTTGCTGTGGAAATTGGCTTGTTAAGTAATAGCATGCAAAGGGGTTGCACATCCTTTTGATTCAGCACAAATAATTGCTGCAAATGTATTTTTTGTTGTTTATTTGCAGCTGTATGTTCAGGGTTGAGTGGTCTCTCCATTCATTTAGTCATGCCGCTTAATGTTGATCAAGCTTGGGCAAAATCTGCATTTTCAGTGGTGTTGGGATTCGGGCTGGGTGAAAGACCCGGTGTTTGAAGCAGGGCTCAGTTATGCAAGTTGGTGGGATGACTTTGAACCAATCTTTCACTCTCCTTATAAGCACATCCTGATCATACTTTGTTTGAGCTGTTGGGAGAAAGATGGGTTAATGTCAGACCCCGGGCCAAGAATGATGTGTGGTGATTTTTCCAAGCTGAGTTCTTTTTATTGTTTCACATCTACAGACAAAATGTTGCCAGAATAAGCACTGAATAACAGAATAATAGAGTTGGTAGGGACCTTGGAGGTCTTCTAGCCCAACCCCCTGTTTAAGCAGGAGACCCTAACAATTTGAGCAATTGGCTATCCAGTCTCTTTTTAAAAGGGGGGGGGGTGTCAAATTATTCTCCAAAGCACCAAAGGGCAGGAACAAGAAACAAGGGTTGGAAACTGACCAAAGAGAGAAGCAACCTGGAATTAAGGAGAAACTTCCTAACAGTGAGGACAATTAATCAGTGAAACAGCTTTGCCTCCAGAAATCGTGGGCGCTCCATCACTGGAGGTTTTCAAGAAGAGACTAGACAGTCACTTGTCTGAAATGGTATAGGACATAGGTTCTCCTGCTTGAGAAGGGGGCTGTGGACTAGAAGACCTCCAAGGTCCCTTCCAGCTCTGTTCTGTTCTATTCGCCTCCAGTGATGGAGCACCCACAACTTCTGAAGGCAAGCTGTTCCATTGGTTAACTGTTCTCACTGTTAGGAAGTCTCTCCTTAATTCCAGGTTGCTTGCCTCCTTGATTAGTCTCCACCCATTGCTTCTTGTCCTGCCCTCTGGTGCTTTGGAGAATAGCTTGACTCCCTCTTCTTTGGGGCAGCCCCTGAGATATTGGAACACTGCTATCATGTCACCCCTAGTCCTTCTTTTCATTAAACTAGACATACCCAATTCCGGCAAGTGTTCTTTATATATTTTAGCCTCCAGCCGTCTAATCGTCTTTGTTGCTCACTGTTCTATTTGCATCTACATTAACTCCCTTTTTTACAACATGTACTCTGTGTATTAGTAGGGAAGGGCTGTCCCTCGCCCTCTTTTTCTCACACATCTGGGCTGAGCTGTCTCTTACTCCTTTGGAATGCATACCCTCCATCTGCTTAACCACATTCCCTCACAAATGTTCTTGGGTTTGGAAAGTTTGATCCTGCTGCATGGTGTCCGGTTCGCCTATCATGCTAAATCATTAATGTTTGGCTTGGGTTTGGCTTAAGTGGGATGAGGGATCAAAAAGTTATTAGGCCAGGACAAAGCTAAATTAGATGTAATTTAATTTTAAATAAGCAAAATTCCTAGGATTGGTGTCTTGAGTGTTCAACCATTTCCTGGGTTTTTTTTCCTACACATAAAAGGCTGTGTATTTATTTATTTTTTTTTAGTTCTGGCTAGTAATCCAAGATAAGTCCTCTTATATCTACCAGGTGGCAGAAGTAGCGATGCAGATAGTCCTAAACTTAAGATCAGTCGTTTTTATGGCTATGTGCAGTCACGATTTAGGGTGCTTTGGCCAGAAACTGGTGTTTACTTCCTTTTTCCAGCAAAATCACCTTATAGTGAAGAATGCTTAACTGCCGCTTAATGATCATAAAATATAAAATCAGGCCTGGTTATATGATAACAGAATAACAGAGTTGGAAGGGACCTTGAAGTTCTTCTAGTCCAGGAGTGTCAAACTCAATTTCATTGAGGGCCGCATCAGCATTGCGGTTGCCCTCAGGGGGCCGGGTGGGTGTGGCCAGGGTGGGTGTGGCCTACTGGGTGGGCGTGGATGGAGTGGGTGTGGCCTACTGGGTGGGCATGGCCAGCTCTACATCGTTCGTGTCAAGGATGCCTGTGGGGGCCTGGGCAGGAGTGGGATAGATCTGAGGGTCTCTGGCAGAAGAAGGTGGGACCGGGGCAAGTGCCAAGGCATGGTCCACTGGAGGAGCCTCACTGTTCCCCTCAGGCCATGCGGGGGGGGGGGCTTATGGAGTTAAGACTGAATGCATTTCAGCATATATGGCCACCACAAAATTGTACATTGGCTCCCGGCCAGCCAGGGCCAAGGCAGCGGGGGCCGTTCCCTCACTGTTTCCAGGATGGCTTCGCGGGCCACATGAAACCACTTTGCGGGCCGCATCTGGCCTCTGGGCCTTGTGTTTGACATGTCTGTTCTAGTCCAACACCCTGCTCAAGCAGGAAACCCTATACAGGTAGTCCTCAACTTACAACAGTTCATTTAGTGACCATTCAAACTTACAACGGCACTGAAAAAAGTGACTTATGACCATTTTTCACACCTATGACCATTGCAGCATCCCCATGGTCATATGATCAAAATTCAGATGCTTGGCGACTGACTCATATTTATGACGGTTGCAGTGTCCCAGAGTCATGTGATCCCCTTTTGCAACCTTCTGACAAGCAAAGTCAATGGCAAAGCCAAATTCGAATTAACAGCCGTGTTGCTAACTAAAAACTGCAGTGACTCACTTAATAGCAGTGGCAAAAAAAAGTTGTAAAATGGGGCAAAACTCACTGAACAAATGTCTCACTTAGCAGCAGCAGTTTTCGACTCAATTATGATTGTAAGTCGAGGTCTACCTGTACAATTTCAGACAAATGGTTGTCCAATCTCTTCTTAAAAACCTCCAGACTCTCACAGTTTATGTCTGTAGTTGTGGGGTTGTAATTCGAGGACTGCCTGTATCATATCGTAGCTTGAATGTTGTCCTATCTGCTTTCCTTTGTGTTTCAGGTCTTTGGTGGAAATTGGCCAAGATGCAAAAGATGCATGATTTTTTGGATAATGAAGTCACTCTGGCATTTGTTAGATATGGACTCATTCTTATTGGGAAAATGATGCTCATGAGCATAATCACTGCTTTCTTCCGAATGAAGAAAAAGGTGAGAGTTGAGGGCATGGAGTGAGACTTTTGGGCACAACACTTTGCATGACCGTGATAAGACAGGGTTGATGGGAGTTGGGCTTTCAAACCTATCTGAAAAGCTCCAGGTTAATCTATACAGGCCAATCCAGGGGTAGGCAACCTCAGCTCTTTTTATGACTCATGGACTTCAACTCCCAGAATTCCTGAGTCAGCTATGCTGGAATTCTGGGAGTTGAAGTCCATGAGTCATAAAAGAGCCGAGGTTGCCTACCCCTGGACTAATCCATCATATCTTTAGGTTTGTAATTTATTATGAACTAACATTATGTACAAACCAGGCCTCTGTGGGTTTTTTTTTTAATAAACCATAATTCAAAATAGCTTATGCATAGTTTTCTTTATTCCATTTGTGTATCACCACAACTGAATCCTGACTCTCGGGGAGTGTAATATAGGTGTAATAATATTAAAGTATCTAAAATAAATTAAGATAAATCAAGCACCCATGATAGATTCACTTCTATTGGCATCCATGTTAACTATGTTAACTACAGTAATAATAACCAAAGATTTGAAAAAGTTTGCAATAGTGTATCTGTAGCTTGGGTGTAGGATGGGGGTGAAGGTTCGTTCTCCGAGCTCCTTTATTCGTCATGTTGACTCTGGCATGGTACCTCATAATCTATTCTTTTCTGTAAACTTTTCTCTTGAATAGGCGTTTGCTAATCCTGAAGACATAGCATCGTTTGGAAAAGGAGAGAACGCGAAAAAGTTTCTAAGGACTGATCCTGATGTGGAACGTGTACGCAGGTAATTCAGGAGCTTCTTATCAAGCACGCACATAAAGAAAAAAAAAATACGCGTGGTGGTGGAGTGCAAAAGGCTCTCACCTTATGTGCTCGCACTTTCTTTTCAATCACTGGCTTAGAAAAAATATTGATAGCGCCTTCCCTCGGTCCATTAATAACCCTGTTGTTTCTTTGATGGTCCTCTGTAGGGGTGTGCAAAATGTTCCGTGACCGTTTGCTTGCACACTCCTGTCTCTCCACTCTCCTGGCCGTGTTTATGATAGCCTGTGCTGTTGCAGCGTTTGCATATTTAATTCCCACAGTCAATATGCGATCTAATTCACACCAGAAATTGGTAGTAGCATGAATTGGCCATGCTATTGTTCTGCTGCTGATTTCTTGAATACAATTTGCTGCTTCCCCTTTTTGTAACAAAATAATAATAATAATAATAATAATAATAATAATAATAATAATAATAATAATAATAATAATAATAATTGAATCGGAGGGAAGGAGAAATTATCCCCAGGCTGGGATAACTAGGATTGCCTTTTTCCCCCCCTCAAATAAAAAAAAATGAAGCTCAAGTTTTTATTTTCATATGTTTATGATCTGATGAACAGATGGCCCTTAATCCAGAAGAAAAATCAGCCCTTTTTCTTTTGAAGATTAATGTGAGTTCAAGAACAGTTGTTAATGTGACCGGTAGAGAAATCCTATGATTATAGACCAGTGGTTCTCAACCTTTTTAATGCCGTGACCCCAACCGGTCATAAGTCGAGGACTAAACCGGTCATAAGTTGAGGACTAAACCAGTCGTAAGTCGAGGACTAAACCGGTCGTAAGTCGAGGACTACCCAACCGGTCGTAAGTCGAGGACTTTCCCTGCCCGGGAGCGCCGTGCATGCGTGGTTCTGCCCCCTGCGCCGGCCGAGGCGTAGCTGGCAAGCGGCAGAGACGGAGCAGGCCGACCACCAGCTGGCCCAGCCCAAGGGAGTTAAGACACCCACCGGAAAAGGGGAAAAAATGGCGGACAAAAAAATGGCGGACAAAAAAAATGGCGGATAGCCTTGCTTGGCGACCCCTGTGAAATGGTCGATCGACCCCAAATGGGGTCCCGACCCACAGGTTGAGAACCACTGTTATAGACATAAGGATGTTTTTACAGGATCCAATCTGGGTCTGTGTCCAGGACCAGAGTTTTAGTCTTCTGACCTTTTGGACTTGTGCTGAACATCTGGGGGAGAGAAGTTCCCTTGAGGATGGGCTCCAGCAAACGTCCGAAAGCTCGGAAGACTAAATCACTGGTCCCAAGGACTGGCCCAGATTGGATCTTGCAACATTATCCTGGGACATGTATTCTTCATTCATAAGGACACTTTGTTGGCATCAAATATGAAGCCTCTAACACTGAATCTCTTTTGCTTCTTTCCCTTAGAATCCATCTCAACGACCTGGAGAACATTATTCCATTTCTTTTTGCTGGGTTCTTCTATTCTTTTTGTGGCGTGACCCTCTCTGCCGCTTTGATGCACTACCGGATTTTTCTCGGTTCTAGGATCTTCCACACCTTGGCTTACCTGATACCTCTTCCCCAGCCCAGTAGAGCTATGGCTTGGTTTGCTGGTTACTTAGTGACCTTTTCAATGATATACAAGATTGTAATGGTTACTTTCACTATGTCTTAGAAAAGAAAGCTAACACTATTTTCAGCCTGTCGTACTTTGGGGAGTGCCTTGTCCAACCAATAGAAGAGAATATATTTAGCTCTGGGTTGAATTGTGGATTCCTTGGTGCTCTCTGAACTTGTTTGTTTGTTTGCAATGTTACATTACCCAACTAGGTAACAATATCAGTGCTAGTGAGTGTGGAGTTTTCTCCCTCTTTATATATAGTACCCTCACTGTGCCACGTCTGGTGTGGTTTTCTCCTTGATTCGAGGAATTAACAAAGCCATATAAATATGATAAATGAACCTTGCTGAATCAAGGAATTACTAAAGAGAAAAACCACAGCCCCATCAAAACTGGAAAGACAAGCTACTGTATATAAATGGAACAAACCCCGCACTCATTAGCATTGATAATGTTACCTAATTGGGTAATGAAATGCCTGCGAACATCCAAGCTCAACAAGCACCAAGGACTCCACCATTAATTCTTCCTCAGAGAAACTCTTTCGTCTCTGCCTCCCAACTTTCCAGAAGGCATACTTGTGCCTTCGGGAATCTTGGACCTCTAGTTGCCTTCTGGAGCTGACAGGTCTAGAACTCTTTTTTTTGCCATTATATGCTAAAACTGTTTTGTATGGAGAATCTGTCTTCCAAGGAAATGTGTCCCTGATTCTTCCTTCCTCTTAACGGAGCATCACTCAGTGATAGTGCAAATACTTTGTATCCTAGGCACAATCTCTGTTAGCATAAAAAGTCAAATATAAGACAGTGGTTATATTCTTTGTCTCTCATCTTTCCTCTCACTCTCAGTATGTGAGAAATTCAGTGTGAGTGATTAAATCTGAAGCCATTACATACACAAAACATTGGCTCTGCCACTGAGGTGATTTCTCTCCACAGTTTTGCCCTTTTTTCACAGTAACTGAAGCTGGTTGCTTCTTTACCCTCTGTTGTCTTGTCTAATATCCATGTTTTCTATTTTTCAAACAAGATTGTGAGCCATGACATACATGGAGGCAGGTTTCTTTGAAGGTGTCAAATGTGGAAGACTGACAGTAAGACCGTGTTCTCTAACTTAGGGCCATCCTGATATCTTATGGTCATGGTTCTGGTTGGAAATAACAAATGTTGTAGACCACCACATTTGGAGACCCACAAGCTGGAGAAGACTATTACAAAGAATGGCCACTCTCTTTGACCTTCCAGTTACATCAGTTTGATGGCTGTTGGCAAAAACGAAACAAGGACGAGTTGGATTTCTGGTGTAATCCACTAAATCTTTCTTGGATTTTCTGGCAAAACTTCCTTGTTTCAGTGTTATGAGAGAAGGAAGAATGTTCCTCAGTTTTTAAGCTTTGGAACCTGGCCTACAATAAGCGATGGTAGAATCCCTTTTTCTGGGATACTATTTTTTCTAGGATATTAATTCTTTAGTTTGTAATTTTTGAGACATTGCATTAATCCTGCAATAAATGCAGACCATATGAGAAGCAAATAGGGCTTACTCTATGTTACATCTTGAGTGGTTGAGATATAGTCTTCTAGATGACCTCAGAATACAACTCCTTTTATCGCTGGTGATTAGCTATGCTAACTGATGAATTTTGGAAGTTCAACAGTATCCGGAAAGCTATACATTTTGGTAGGTCCTAGGATTGTAGATCTGGGAAGTTAACTGTGTTTGAGGCTCACAAAGCATGTCTCAGTTCCAACTCTTTAGGCCTGTTAACTTCTCGTCTTCATCCTGAGTTGAGTTCTTGTTTGGTTCCTGAATAGTAAAGTTAAGCCAATGGTTCAGATTGACAGTTCCACAACATCTGGAGAGTCATAGGTTCCCCACCCCTGTTCTCTGTTTTGAATGCACAAGGCCAGAAGCTAGAAGTTATAAACCAATTAAGAGAATTTGTACTTTGAATGGTTGGGTTTTGAATGTTTCACCATGTTTGACATTCCTCGTGTTCTATCAGCGTTCCAAATATTTTTAGTTAAATTTAAGTTGGTTTTTGTTCCCATTTCTGTTTGTTAAGATTTGAACCTTGTGAACAACTTCCTTTATTCCTGCTTTCTCCTTCACATGTTGTCTTAGCTCACGCAAGCTTTAAGATTTTTAATGTGCACCATCTCTCTTTTGAGGGCATATATGAATGGTAATTTTCTACATATGCTATTTTGGGTTGTATCTTTTTGAAGCATAAATAATAAAGACAACAGCAGGAAAAAAAAAGTGTGCTGGAATTTTTGTGGCTTGTTTTTTTTTTTCCTCCTCCTTGACTACAGTCAGCAAATAAGATGTCACAAAGAATCAGGGACTCAGAGCATCAAGTTCTTTGAAGAATATTTACCTTCATAATAAGATACTGCAAGCAATGCCAGTCCTTGTTGTAAAAGAGACTTTGATACAAATAGGTGCTTTAACCAAGTGCTGGAATAAACACTGGGAATGAAATTTCTCTTTGTCTAACGTACCTATACAAAGGAGAATATTTTAAGTGGCCCTTACTATGTCTTAGCAGCTTTCTTGTAATTTTTATTTCTTAGAAAACAGAAGAGGCGATTGGACTCTTCATATCTATCTCCTGAAAGAATAATATATGATCAGAAGTTTATATATGTACTAGGAAAGGGTAACCAAATTTAGTTTTGTGACACCACGAAACATCAAGGATAAAATCTGAGAAAAAGCCCTTTCTTGGCATAGAAAGATGGACAAGGAGATGTTCTGTGCCTTTTTAGAAAATACAAGCTCTCCATCAGGTCCCAGAACAGGAATTCTTAAGAGTAAGCAGTAACACAATGAGCAACGTAACAATCCATGGAGTACATTATTTTCCAGAATAAGAGCATAATGATGTGGCCAAATACTTAGAAGTCACATATAGCATAATTAGTCCTCAACTTTTGACCACAATGGACCGTAATTTCCATTGCTAAGTGATACAGCTGTAAAGGGTGACATTGCATCACTGTATTGCTTAGTGACCGCAATCTCTGCAGTCCTTAATGCCGTCGTAACTCCAGATGCACGGGTTGTTAAGCGGGAAGTGGACGGTGTCCCAGATAAAAAGCATGGGGTGCCTTGAGGGTGGGGGAAGTCCTGGGCAGGCTGCATGTGAGTTATAACTGAATAAAATATACTTTTACTGCAACTCAATTATTAAAGCAACACGTTAATGCACTTTGACCATATGGCATATTGTATACCGCCTTATCTTACTATTCTGGCAATGAAAGAATCAGTTCAAAGGCTGAGCGTGCACAACCTTTGGTATCTGACATGTAAGCCTCTTTCCAAGATCACACTATTCTTTTTGACCTTAATCCAGACTTGATAGATCCCAATTCTTCATAAATCGAAGGATAGTAAAGAAATAAACAAACCAATTCCAACATTTTTTGAATACATACAGTTTTAAAGTTAACATCTGAAGTCATAACTTCCGTGAAGTTAACTTCAGTATATGTATGTACCAGTATCTGGAATTTATGTGAGCTGGGAGGAAACAAACTTGGGTTCAGTCCCGTCAAGACCATGTAGATTTGGGGCTTCTTGGATCTCAGTACTTTCCATCTTTACTTTTAGATGGGACTGAGCTCATTTGAGACTGATCATAATCAATGGGTCATCTTGGACTCTGCAGTTTCGTATAGTGCTCCTGTTGCATCCATTCCTGGATCAGGCACTTTTCCAGGTGCTCACTAGTCACCTCACCACAATTTTACTACTGCAGTGGGCTCTACATGGGACTGCCTTTAAAGACTATTTAGAAGCTACAGCTGGGCACTGGGCATGTCTAGATGCTTATATAATATCTATATTCCATTTGCTTCTATGTAAATTCAAGGTGCTGGTTGTCACCTTTAAGACCCTGTATGGCAGAGGTCCCCAACCTTTTGGGCACCAGGGACCGGTTCTGTGGAAAGAGGTTTTTCTGCAGACTGGAGGGTGTGTGGTTTTGTATGCTGCCTGCATCCCCACAGATGGGGCTTTGCTAGTTTGTGCGGCCTGGTTGCTGCCATGCCACGGCCCAATACTGGTCCACAGACCGGGGGTTGGGGACCCTCCTATATGGCATAGGGCCTAGTTCAGTGATGGCGAACCTTTTAGAGTGCCCAAACTGCAACCCAAAACCCACTTATGCATCGTTTGGTGCCAGGTGGGTGTGGCCCATTGGGTGGGCATGGCTGCGGTGGTAACAGCAGACTGGGTGGGACTAAAAAGTTCAATCAATCAATTCCAACTTTGCAAGATCTTTTTTTTCCCCGTGAGAAGTTGAAATTGACGGATTGATTGAACCTTTTTTTTTTGGCACACGGCAGCGGAGGCCTAAAGCGAAAAGGTTTTATAAAACCCCGTTGAAGGCCTAGGACTGGGGCAACAGCGCGCGTGCCCACAGAGAAGGCTCTGAGTGCTGCCTCTGGCACCCGTGCCATAGGTTCGCCACCACTGGCCTAGTTATTTGAGGGATTACCTGTCTCCCATGGTGTCTTCCTGTCCTGTAAGATATGCCAGACTTGGTTTTCTCCTGGCTCCATCAATTAAGCAATATCATCTATTCTAATAGACTCAGGTCTTCTCTGATATAAAGCTTGCCGTCTGGACTATCACCTCCCCAGATATTTACATACGGCACCCGCAGTGGTCCATAAGCTGCGCTCCGTGCCAAGTAGGCTTCTAGGTACAATTCAAAGTCATCTGTCTCTGTTAAAGCCCTTCATGCTGCAGGACATGAATATTTGAGGGTGCATCTATCTTCCATGGTCTCTGCCCTTGTGGCAAGATCAGGCAGATGAGCACTTCAAGGGCAGCGTCATGTAGAATTACATTGTCATAGTGCAATTTTGAGAGAACCAGGGCATGAATAGTCTGCAGGATTCTTGGTTGAGTAAAGGGCACAAATAGTACACAAACTGGCCTTTAATGCCCTCCTGGCCACAACTGCCACCTGCTCCTTGAGTAGAAGCTAAGATTCAGGAAAACCCCCATGTTGCACACTAGTCTTGAATGTCGAAGTGCAAAACT